TTTGCCCATTACTTACACCCTATTTTATTTTTTGGAAGGAAGCCAGTTTTTCTTCGGGGGGTAACGTTATTTGTATTCAAGCGGACGAACTCCCATGTTCTAGGAGGACTTGTTGTAGCTTTTGATTACAAACTCAGTTCCTTGATCAGACCCCAGGAATCTGACAGGTCGCTCACATTGCTTCAGCTGTAAGATCAACGTCTTCAAGTTGTCTGTACATTGAGACTTTTGACGGAGTAAGAAGCCCCATAGGTATCGTGAGTATTCATTCTCCACGAGCTGAAACATCACGTTTCCAGCAACCGAGACCTCACCATAGTGACAGACATCGGTCATCAGTTTTTCACAACACCTTATTGATCGACATGGAGACACATTCTTGTATGACATTCTTCGCGATTTTGCTAATGTACAGCTTAGGCAATCCATCGCATCTCTAGTGCGCTCACTAGGAGAGATCGTCATGCCTGTAGCCATCCGATCACGATGAAGTTGCTGCAATGCTGCAAAATTCACATGACCAAAGCGAAGATGCCACCGAAATATCGATTCACCTCCAGCCACAAATGATGCAACTACTTGAGGTGAATTACACAAACCACGAGTGCGATAGTAACCTCGACTCTTGACAAACACTATTGCTGTCGGCCCCTTCCATAATAGCCGTCTTGGAGGTCCGTCCTGAGGATACTGTGACTCACATTGCCAGCCTTGCTCTTCAAGTGCATTAACACTTAGCAGATTAACGTGACATCCAACAACATTACGAACTCCAGTAAGAACGCAATCAAGCGCTTCTCCAGTTTCGCCACGTCTATCTTGTGTGGATAGGAAAGATACAGGCAATTGAGACACCAAATGTTCCGTTGTTACTTCTCCTGTCCACGATTCATGTGGCGTGTTCGTCTCCACGTAGTGCGGGAACTGTGTCATAAGTGACCGGTCAGCGCAGGTATGCGTAATAGCTGCTGTGTCTGATATCCACTCCAATGAACTAGAGGTATCAAACGTCGACAATAATGTAGACCCAGTACTTGACACAGCACAAGTATTTTCAACACGACCGATCATTCCCAATGGTAACGGCTGAGGAGGTCCACCTTTGTTTCCCCCATATCCTCTAGAGCTATCCCCAGAATTGTTGCCACACTTTGCCTTTTCAGCATCTACGTTGCCGTGCTTCAGATCAAATTTGAGCTTACGACACTCAAATTTGTGATGGCCTTCTCTATCACAATAGAAGCACTTGCCCTTCTTTCGTTTACCAGGACCAGACTTTTGATTGGCTTTGCTTCCTCCTTCACTGGATTTACGCCACGTTACTCAAGGTACGCTGCGTGTATGCATGTTAGTTTACATTAGTAGCTAGCAAGACACACATACACAGATAGTCCGAGGTTCCTGGGGCTGCTTAGGGGGTAGCTTAAAACTTGCGGGATTTTATCCTGCAAGTAGGTTGCCGTGCTATGGGGATTTAGTTCCAGAGCCCTCTGGGTTCTTGGGGCTTTATCCCACCGCCCACTCTGCGCGAGAGCACATTTGGCACCTGGTACATTGACCGCAAACCCGACAGCGAACCAGTTGAGCCGGTCGTTAATGGTTATTGATGGGCACGCACATTGCGTGCGTGCAGTTGGTCAGGAGGGGTACCGTAACTGGCCTCTTTTAACCGACAGATGGGATGGGGGCTGTAATAGCCTATCAATAACCAGCCTTTGCAATTAACGGCCGCCTTTTTGGCAAAAGGATATCGCACCTCAAGCTACAGTACTACCCGGGGGCCCAACTCTGAAGATTCGACTGCACAATTTGCAAACTAAAACCGCTCCGGGCCTCACGGCCCGTGACTGTGGGATAAGTGATCGGAGATAACCTTGCTGGAGTGGAGCAGGCCACTCCGGGGTAGTACGCATATTTCAACACACCTACTCGCAGGAAAAACTACCTGCTACGTGCGCGGGGGAATTTAAAAAATGTTTTCTAACGCGTCACGTTTTTTCGTGTTCGCAGAACTATGGTTCGGAGTAAGCGAAAGAGAACGCGCGAGGAACTGGAGGAGGCCCTGCGCGAGAACGAACGGATCAACGCGACACCCAGGCAAGAGGAAAAGGATGCACGGAAACGACGTCAGACCAAGCGCAGGAAGAAACGCTACGACTTGAACAAAGCGCTGAAGGCCCTCAGTGTGCACCAAGACGAGACAGAAGTCACAGAAGCGGCGGAAGTTCCGGCTGATCGCATTGAAGAGGAGGAGGAGAAGACGGAAGAGTCCGATCCTGTGGTACATCAGCGTCGGTTTGCGGCTCGAATGGAGGCGGCATATCAAGCA